CTGAGGTAAATAAGTAAGGTGTTCATGCGTACCCCGAATCTCCGAAAAGCCTCCCATGAAATTGTCCACCGTCAAATTTCACTTTCAAAGCAGATTCATTAAATATTCGGGAATCATGTGCACTCCCGTACCATCTTGTGACAATCCATGTCCATTTTCTTTAATTGCATTACACAAATCTTGTACGTTTAATGATTGGAAATTCTTCCTATTTATATAATAGTGCCCTTCATTGCTTGGCACTTGTGCGATGCGGATTTTAATGCAATCAATGCACCCGATCACAGTTTTGAACCCACAACTATCAGAAAACATGGTGACTTTCTGCACCTCTTCGTCTAAAGTTTCAGGCATTCGAATATACGAGTACGTCTGGCTCTTTTCGACAATACACAGTGCCACTCTACGGCACACATTAGTTAGAGATTGTTGACTTATCCCATGCAAGTCAGCAGAATCGTCTTGAATTTCATTTCTTTCCCAGCAGCAAAGAGCGGTTAAAATTTGTAGATCAGAAGAAAGTTTCCTTCCCCTTCCGTTGTCAGATTTTAACTGTGCCCCGAACAAGTCTTTTATTTTTATCACTCCTTTGAAAAACGTATTTCGTGCGGAATTCTGCATCGGAATATATTTCCATTGGACTCACACGTGCCCGCTTCTTCCCCCTCGTGTGTTAACAAAGATTTCCTCTATGAACACTTCTTCCCCACTTTCTATATCTCAAAAGGACATCCTTCTTAAGGAATTCAGAAAGCAGAATCATTGCTCTGTGAAATTATATTGATGGTAATCGTCTATTGCCGATTGGCAAGTTTGAGACGCTTTAGCAGACGCGGCAGCAAAACTAGACATTTCTAATGTATTTAATTTCTCAGATTCATCTCGGTGATCCACTTTGTAACTTACCACACCTACGTAGGACTTTTTAGATATTACAATGGTACTTTTTAAAAATTTTTAAACTCGATTTTTGAGGAAATTTTAAAAATAAAAATAAAAATGATTTTTAAAAAGTTTAATGACAGTAGATGGAAACGGCCGATTCTACAACACAACAAAGAGATACCCGGTGGGGGAAACCGCCGTCACCGGATGTTGTGTTGCAGTATCGGCCGTGCCTTATCTACCAGCTGTGGTCGCCGGATGTAAACAAAAACATCTGACTAATGAAACCATCTGGTGTGTACATGCGGGTCAACATCCGGCGTCCACATCCGTTGTCAACATCCGGCGCCAAGGCCGGTGCGTCGGCGAAGGCCGCGGAAGGCGAAGAGTCGCCGCCGCAGCTGCTGGGAGCCGTGACGTCACGTCCTCCAGCCTGACTGACTCTTGCCTGCTACCCTGTTGTACCAACCTCTGAAAACGATAACTAAGGTGCCGAAAAAAAACGTAGCGGAGAGAGGAATTGTTTTCCCTGCACGGTGGTGAACAAAGGCAGGAAATGACAAGCCGAACAACAGAGAGAGAGAGAGTAGACTAGAACAATAATTATGTTCATAAATTAATTTTTGACATGTGTTTTATACATTTTAAAAACACACTGTTTGATGTTTTGGACACTGTCGTCGCACAACACACAAACACAATAGTTATAATCTGCAGAAAACGTGTACTGGACGATTTTGTCATGAAATCGGATAACACTTTTTTGACAACTTCATCGTTCGCGACACGTCTTCCGCTGTCAGTCCTTCCTTATTCCCTATGTAATGTCCGCACCAAAGGAGATAGATACAGCACGACTTGAAGAATGACCATGTGAAGCGGTCGATCAGCGGCGTCCGTGGGGCGTCCGAAAATATCTTGCATTGCGAGACATGCGAAGCACGGACATACCTGATCTGAACCAATGGTGTTGTAACTCGGGCTGCGGAATCGAGAGTGAACTGCGTGTCGTGTACTCGCTCTCTCGTTTTTCTCCGTCGAAAGACCCGCTTCCGTTTGTTCCGTTTATCTTACAGGATGTCTGACACATCTTTTCGTCTCGTGTTCCAAGGGGATGTGATCGTGATGGCCGGTTCCGTCCTCAGATTCTTCGACGCGTTGAGTGGGAAGCATTTGACATCTTTCCAGATGAATGACTACGCCTCCGCAGTCGTGTTTATCATATGGATTGCGTTTTGGAATGGATCGATCGATGAATCTTCAAGATGCGAAATGAGATATTCATGATAGGGAAAACTTCCGATATGCCTGAAAACGGCAGTGTCATGAAATATTCTGTTCTTGTTCTTACATAATCATACGAAACTGATTCATGTGAAGTTCCTCTTGCGATGTAGGCAGCATTCCATTACGTTAAGGCGGAGATATTAGCCAAGCTTGGAGATGTTTTGCCCAGCCCTTTCTTCCGAACGAGGCGGAGTAGATGTCGCAGCCTAATCACGATTTACTCCAACATTTTGCTGCCGTCACCCTTCCATCCTCCGCTGTCGTCGAACATCATTCGTAGGCGAACCTCGGGCAGTGTTTTTCGCTTCACGTCTTGTCAATTTGCCGTGCGCTGACTGAATGGAGCGATGGTGAGAGAGACACACATATCACGTTACAAAATACGTCTGCGGCTCACTATCCGGGAGGATTATTTTCGTCTGGAGAGGGAAGGACTGGGTAACTTTGCGGATAGAGAACAACACGTTGCGCAGAGCCGCCCTCTGTATTGGATCTTTTATAAAGAGACTCCGAGAACTTCCATTGATGCCAAAGTATTTCCGCATGCATGAAAACGACAATGCTCGAAGTAGTCTTTTCGCACTCCATGTACGCTTTTGTCGTGTCTGTTCGTCGTGAAGATCGGCGCGCACAGATGGCAAATGCTAACAGTTGCCACGTCGGAGTACCTTTCCATAGTTCCACGCTTTTCTTTCAGCTTTCCTTGCCTCGGAGGGGAAGACGCCTTCTAGGGCCAGGACAAGGAGGGCATCGTCGGGAACGCTGCCCGAGTGAATTTCAAACATTTTTGCTGTCGAAAGAGATTGACTCAAAAGAATCAGTCCCTGCACTTCAAAAATTAAAAGTCAAAAGGCGTAATTCCACTTTTCAATGCGTTGGCGAACACACGAACCTCTCGTGATTGTGTGGATATACACGTTCAGAATTTTCATAGTTCGTCTTGCCCAGGCCTGTAGGAAAAATGCCAAAAATCGTAACAGCTTCCGTTATGCATAAGACTGGAAATATGTTATGGGACACGGAAGTTGACATTGCAAATCTTTGATGAGCTGCTCCGAAACGAAAAGACCTGTGAAATGATCGTGATCCAACCGAATAGAATTTGAAACGAAAGGTCTTTGAAAATGTGACAGGCGTCAGCAATTTTCAAATGAAAATTCGTCTTCTCCCGCATGTGGAGGGGTGCTGATGATTTCAAAGATTTCGAAATCCTATTGCAAGGCTTCTAAAAATATTGTAATTAATTGATGGCGAACCGTCACGCCCGCGGATCACTATTCTTTGCGATCGAGATTCTCAATATCACAGACAACATTGGAGGCACATCCGAAAGGCTGCATGGAGTTGCTAATGCTGAAGATGGTTCGCTTGGAGATTGCTCACACGAAGAGATACGGAAACAGTGAGTGCTACTCAAAATCCAAACATAAACCGCAAATGGGGCATCTCCTGTTGTTTCATGACTTTTGAAACGCATAACATTGTTCTGAATGGCGAAGAGGTAATGTCAGTCCCGGTGCTGGTGCCACAGAATTACAATCAATCATGTGAGAACATCGAGTTTTATATCCGTGATCTAAATAAATTTAGACACCGCTCACAACGAAAACCAAAATGTCCATGCGCATATGTTGGTACTCACCAACCTACTTAAATTTTAATCCAAACATAATGAGTCACGCCCTTGAAGTATATAACAACATTTGAACTGATTCTCTTTTTTTGTTTTTGCGAAATGTACAGGACCCTACAACATTCCACAATTTTTGTTTAGATGCATACGAGATAA